GACTAGTTAGGTACGCAGGAGCTAACCCATTAAGGGCCTTATAGGCAAGTAATAATATTTTGTAACTGATACGGAACTTAATGTGTGTGTGTGTGTGTGTGTGTGTGTGTCTAAGAAGAATGTCACTAGCCAGTCTGCATGTAGAATGGCTCATGAACCATCAATATTAGAATGTTTCATAAAGTTTCTATAAATTGTTATATTACAATAGATGGTCCTTATATGTTCAAAGGCAACAGTCCAAGGTGTCTTTTATTTGGTATTTTACCCATCAAACAAGCATTAAATAACATGTCGCCCTTTTCATGCTTCTTCAAGCTTCAGGGTCAAGTTTATAAATGCTAAGCATTAGCAAGCTGCTGTCTAGCTATATGCAACTCTCTAGGAGCAAATGGCAGCAAGATCTTAGAAAATCATCTTAGAAAATAACAACATGAGTAGTACATCTTGTCAGGCAGGAAAAAAAAAAGTTTATCACTAACTGTGCTGTCAATGTACAGTAGGTGGCACCAAACAGAGCATGGGTCACATAAAAAAATTGGTAATGTGAAAACTGTCATGAACAATCCCATTCATTTTCTGAGGGGATTAGAAAAAAACATCTTAAATAAAGATAAACCAAACCAACTTAAGAAATTAATCACAACATTACAACCGTTGATTTGAAGGTAAAAAAAAAGAAATAAAGAAATTAGAAAATGACTCATCCCAACAAGTATTGTGAATGAATGATTTTATCACATTTTAAATGACTATAAAATTACATGTCATTGATCCTGAGCTATTCATAGGCCTGTCTTGAAAAGTTGACACATTATTACTTAATTTCTTTGAATGAAGAAAAAAATGGGTTTTTACTTCTTTACTGCATCTTGTGAGCATCTTGTGCCTGGTGCAGAAAAAGCTCTCTTTCTGAGAACCCTGTGTTCTCTTTCAACGGTCCCACCCATAAAGTTTTGAGTAAATCAGACCCTGTTTACAGGTTTTTACTGTAATTTTACGGTTTTTACTAGAAAAATTGTTGCTTTTTGAGAATACTTTTAAGAATATTATGTCAGTCTCCAACTATGCATTATTAATTCATTGTACAATACATATAACACAAAGTTAAGATGGGTTGTGAAATTTAGCAAAGGAATTACTATTTATTTCTATTTTTGCTCTTTCAACGCATTGTTATTCACAAGTGACAGTCTCTCCCTTCATACTTTGAGTTTTCCACTTCTTCTCAACTGAGAATTTCTTTCTTTTAACTGCTTTCCCACTTTTGGCAGGTGGTGATAGTGATTTTGTTCATGTGCAGGGTAATTATTGTAACTCAGTTTGCCTGGCCAGTGAACACTCATGCCAGATCTAGTCATGGTTCACTTGCACGCTAATGCAGTCACATGCCTAATGGATCAGCGCCAAAGTCTAATACTTTAGACTCAGTTTACGGTTATAAACAATATAACATTTGTGCTTAAAGTGTGATTTTGTACTCCAGAGAGAAAATTCTTACTTTATTGTGCATGCTGGTTGCAGTGTGTTTTGAAACAAATTTTTCTGTAATCTACTCATTCTGTCTATACAGTGGCATTGCTAGAGATTCTGGGCCCTTTGCACAGATTTGTGTTTGATCTCAGCCTGGCCCGCCCCAGGACATCGTTGTTGGCCCATCTAAGCCTCTGGGCCCTATGAACTCAGTCCCCCTTTTCCCCCCGATCACGACATCCCTGTGCCTATATAGCCAGCAGTATTGTACACCCAAAGCTGCTTATAGACCTGATTTATGATTAAAGAAATGTCTGTTCATGTCCATATAGTTTTTTTTAAGCCAAACTAGCTTCCTTATAAAAGCAGCTATATGTTAGAAACGATGTAATGTGCTTTATCTAAGTGCCAGACATCTTAAGAAACGTTTTAATCCAAAAATAGGGATGTATGTTATTACAAATGGCCACCTGACTCATGGTTGTCTGTCACTTGTTTCTCCAGCATCTAACCTCATCCCTGTTGGCAGTAGCATTCCTCTCTTCCTTCGGGAGCTCCATGCTGTATGGTTATAACCTGGCTGTTGTTAATTCTCCTGCAGAGGTGAGTGACACCACAAACACAGTTTTTCACATAGCCTCACATAACACTTTTTTATGCAGCTGGATTAAATCACCTACTTGCTGAAACACAGAGTCACAGTTTTTTCACTTCTTTCCTTCAATGTTGATTGAAGGTTTGTTCTTCACGTTTAATATCCTTCAACATAACATTTAATTTGAATGAAGACTATTTAAACTATGATTGATGTCAGTACCACAAGGTGTTAAATAATTCACTCTCGATTACAGTGGAGGCTTTAAATACATATAATTTCTGCCTACAAGTCACAAGTCCTGAATAGAAGTATCAGAGCGCGATCATACTGAGAGTATAACTGCAGCTTGTGAAAGAGTAATGAAACAGGGAGGATAAACATTTAGCCTTCTAAATGTTCATTTAGAAGAAATAAATATGACAATAGCAAAAATGGGATCGAAAAAGGTCATTCAAATGAAAGAGAGAGCAACATAGAGAGAGAAAAATTCAACCATCACATGACACCATATCTTTTTTGGGGAGAGTGAGTTTTTCTCTACAGCGATTACATTGATCCATTCCAACGTCTGTCCTAATAATTTTGACTTGTGTTATTTTGATTTGCTATCATTCGCTATTTGTCTAATTACATGAGACTAGAGGCCCATTTATTCAAATTTGATTGTGATCAGCCTAGAAGTCCTCCAACACATACTTGCTCTAATTTAATTAAAGGAAAAGTTCACCCAAAAATGAAAATTTACTAAAAAATGTACTCACTGGAACAGATTTGGAGAAATTGAGCATTACATCACTTGCTCACCAATGGATCCTCTGCAGTGAATGGGTGCCGTCAGTATTAGAGTCCGAACATCTGATAAAAACGTCACAATAATGCATAAGTAATCCACATGACTCCAGTCCATCAATTAATGTCTTGTGAAGTAAAAAGCTGTGTGTTTGTAAGAAACAAATCCATTATTAAGGTGCTATGACTTTAAACCATCGTGTCTGGCCAAAATACTAGTCCATAATATCCATAATAACTCTTCCTCAAAGTGAAAAAGTCCAACCCCTGTTGTCCTCTCACATCAAAATGTATATTTTAAGAGCTACACAGGATCATATTTTCTTTGTTCTTCTCACAGTACATAAAGGACTTTTATAACCAAACCATTGTGAGGCGGAATGGGTCAGGAGTGGATGAAGAGACTCTCACGCTTATATATTCAGTCACTGTGTCTATATTTGCCATTGGAGGACTGGTGGGTTCTCTCACAGTGGGAATGCAGGTTACCAGATTTGGGAGGTGCAATATGTTTTTTCCCCTATTAAACTTAATACGAATAGTTTCTGAAATGTTGTCTCATTGTATCAGCTGGCCAAATTGCAATAGCTGCTTGAATGCTTTGTGCATCTTTCTAATTTGTAGAAGAGGGACACTGGTACACAGCACAGTTCTGGTGTTTATAGCTGGAGGGCTGATGGGCTTCAGCCGATTATGTGGATCTCCAGAGATGATCATCATTGGGCGCTTCATTATAGGGATACATTCAGGTAATTAGTTTCATTTAATATGGAAGGCCTTAAATGCCAAAAATGAACATTCTGTCATCATTTACTCACTATGTCATTTCCATAACTGTATGACTTTCTTTTTTTACTGTGGGACTTAAAAGAAGCTTTTTTTGACAGTTGTTTTTTTCTTTTTATTATGCACGCAGAATACATTTAACAATTTTAGTTTAGTCCTTTCTTAAATATATACACTTAACTATGTCCACTCATATTGGATTTGAATTTTCTCTTGGATTTCTAGTGGCATCATTAATAATCTTAATTATAATCTTATGTATTGAGCTGCTGTAGTGATATGTGCTTCTCTGTTGTGCTTCTGTAGGGATTTCTCTCAGCGTAGTGCCCATGTATCTGGGAGAAATTGCTCCGAAGAATTTCCGAGGCTTCCTAGGACTCGTGCCCAGCATCTTCATCTGTATTGGAGTGTTTATTGCTCAGATTCTGGGACTCCATGAGATCTTGGGCAAGGTGGTTCCCTTCTATTTTATTTTATAACATTAGACTGTCTTTCTCTTGTTATGAACGTCACAGATTAATTGATATATCCTTAACTTTTTGTTGTTTTAAAACAGATCTGTTACTGCTTTGTTTTCAGTTTTGTTAAGTCTTCTTATCATCATCATTTGGTTGTTCCACACAGGAAGAGCACTGGCCTCTGTTCCTCTCTCTAGTTGTGGTGCCTACATTCATACAGCTCTTGTTGTTGCCATGGTTCCCAGAGAGTCCGAGATATCTGTTGATGGAAAAGCGGAACATTCATGCCACTATCACAGGTAAAGACTTTTCTTACTTAAAAAAAACAGTTCACCCAAAAATAAAAAATGTATTTACTATCATGCTGTTCCAAATCCGTATTACATTCTTCTGTGGAACACAAAAGATGTTTTTTTTTATTTTTTTTTTAAATACCCTGAAAATTATCAGTGAATAGCAAAGTTTTGCTTCACATAGAGCAATTGCATAACTTCAGAAGACTTACAGTATATACCGCTTATAAAAGTTGCATGGACTATTATAATGCTATGAGGCTTTTGCATGGAAAACAGTGACCACTGCATTCTCTCGTGTGTAAAAAAAAAAGTTTTGCAACTTAAAATCTTCCACGAAACACGAAAAAACTAAAAAAATCTAGAAATTCTTCTGATTGTTCATTAAGAAGATTGAATTGTGTTGGAGGGATTAGTGGCCAGACCAGCAGACTCTCATAAGTATTGTTCGTTATAGGGATACATTCAGGTAATTAGTTTCATTTAATATGGAAGGCCTTAAATGCCAAAAATGAACATTCTGTCATCATTTACTCACTATGTCATTTCCATAACTGTATGACTTTCTTTTTTTACTGTGGGACTTAAAAGAAGCTTTTTTTGACAGTTGTTTTTTTCTTTTTATTATGCACGCAGAATACATTTAACAATTTTAGTTTAGTCCTTTCTTAAATATATACACTTAACTATGTCCACTCATATTGGATTTGAATTTTCTCTTGGATTTCTAGTGGCATCATTAATAATCTTAATTATAATCTTATGTATTGAGCTGCTGTAGTGATATGTGCTTCTCTGTTGTGCTTCTGTAGGGATTTCTCTCAGCGTAGTGCCCATGTATCTGGGAGAAATTGCTCCGAAGAATTTCCGAGGCTTCCTAGGACTCGTGCCCAGCATCTTCATCTGTATTGGAGTGTTTATTGCTCAGATTCTGGGACTCCATGAGATCTTGGGCAAGGTGGTTCCCTTCTATTTTATTTTATAACATTAGACTGTCTTTCTCTTGTTATGAACGTCACAGATTAATTGATATATCCTTAACTTTTTGTTGTTTTAAAACAGATCTGTTACTGCTTTGTTTTCAGTTTTGTTAAGTCTTCTTATCATCATCATTTGGTTGTTCCACACAGGAAGAGCACTGGCCTCTGTTCCTCTCTCTAGTTGTGGTGCCTACATTCATACAGCTCATGCTGTTGCCATGGTTCCCAGAGAGTCCGAGATATCTGTTGATGGAAAAGCGGAACATTCATGCCACTATCACAGGTAAAGACTTTTCTTACTTAAAAAAAACAGTTCACCCAAAAATAAAAAATGTATTTACTATCATGCTGTTCCAAATCCGTATTACATTCTTCTGTGGAACACAAAAGATGTTTTTTTTTATTTTTTTTTTAAATACCCTGAAAATTATCAGTGAATAGCAAAGTTTTGCTTCACATAGAGCAATTGCATAACTTCAGAAGACTTACAGTATATACCGCTTATAAAAGTTGCATGGACTATTATAATGCTATGAGGCTTTTGCATGGAAAACAGTGACCACTGCATTCTCTCGTGTGTAAAAAAAAATGTTTTGCAACTTAAAATCTTCCACGAAACACGAAAAAACTAAAAAAATCTAGAAATTCTTCTGATTGTTCACTGCATTAAGGTTGATTGAATTGTGTTGGAGGGATTAGTGGCCAGACCAGCAGACTCTCATAAGCTGTTATTGTTCGTACTGTGATCTCAAAGCTTCAGAAGCTGGCACTACAAAGGTCCATCAGTCATACAGCAGCTACCAGGCAGGATAACTCACTGACTGTAGCAAAGAATGTGAGACAGGATTAGAGGAGAGTAGCAGCAGAAACATTAAGCCATTTCCATACAGAATCTTGACATATTTGTGTGATTTAAATGTAAGAATGAACAGATTTATTCCATAGCTTAGCTAACTAGCATCAACATATGATTGTGTTGTATAGGCAGAACTTTCTCCAAAGTTTTTTTTTTTTTTCTCCACACTTTATGGTATTTTTCCTTGCCACAGCGGCCTTTGGCTTCTTACTTAAAAAATACAGTTAAAGTTAACTACTGATCAGGTATCAAGGGGGCAGGGCCAAGACTAGACAGAAGAGCACATGGCACAGAGAAACAATCATAAAGCCATGTGCATAAAGTTCATGGCAAAGCACACATAACATGTGCTCCCACAAACACAAGACAAGACAGAAGAGCACATGGCACAGGAACCACCCAACACCATGAGCTCACACAAAACACAATGACAAGACAGAAGAACACATGGCAAACAAACCATCATCTGCCATGCGCTCAAACAGAAAAAACAACAACATGCAAAACAGAAATGCACAGAGCATGGATGTCAGGATTTTGACACTGAAACTGAACCAAGACTAGACCAAAGTGTGTCCAGACACCATGTCCCGAACACCCAATGCGTAAGGTAAAAGAGCACACAGCACAGAGAACAACCCCAAAGCTGTACACTCACACGAGGATAAGACACACAACACATGAATGTCAGGATCCTGTCACCAAACTAAGAATAAGAACAATGAAGGTGACAGGACCCTGACACTATTGTTCTGCTTTAAAACAATGCGCATTGTAAAATACACTATATAAATTAAATTGACTATTTTTATTTATTTTTTATTCATGAGGATCCTTGAGAAAAAGAAGTACACTTTAGCATACTTTTAAAATATGTTTATGTATTACATAAATAGTATACTTTAAAAGAATACACTTAAGGGCGAATGAATGTAACATTTTCAGACACTAAATGAAAAAGTATAGGTAAAATTTGTATAAGATGCAATTAGCTTGAACTGTACTTTTTTAAATAGGACATTTTATATGTAATTTCATAATTACTTTTATTGTCTTTGACAAACGTTTAAAGTTCACTGCCGAATGTACTGATAAGCATTCATGGCATTTCTTTTTTTTTTTTAAAAGATTTATTTTTGGCATTTTTATTTTGATAGGACAGTATAGCAGTGACAGGAAGCGAAGTAGGTGAGAGAGAGGGGGGAGGGATCAGGAAAGGTCCACGAGCCGGGACTCGAACTTGGGACGCCTGGAGCACAACGGCACTATATGTTGGCACACTGCCCACTGAGCTATTGGCACCAACGCATTCTATTGGAATGTTTATGTCATGTATTTAAATATATTTATAATTACACATTTGTCATGATGATGTTTCTATTTAGTACATTTAAAATTCTAACTTTAAATGTAATATCGAATAACACTAAATTTTAAATTATGATCAAGTACTTTACATGTGCTTTAGTATGTTAGTCAAAAATTCAAATAAATGTACATTAAAGCACAACAAAAGATTATTAGAACAATTTAAAACGTACTTTAAAGTAAAACTTTTAAGATTACATTTCTACAAAGGGCACTTTTTAAAAGTGTAGAGATACCAGAGTATTCTGTTGCTCTGATTCTCTGCTGTTTTGACGTGATCTGATAGAATCTAATGTAATTATATAATGACGCTCAGATTCTGATTCCTCTTTGCAGCACTGAAGTGGTACCGTGCCAAGTGTAATATTCAGGCTGAGGTGGAGGAGATGCAGGAAGAGCAGCGCTCTTTGTCCTCAATAGAGACTGTCTCAGTATTGCAGCTCTTCAGGGATCCGTCTGTTCGCTGGCAGATTGTTACAGTCCTTGTGGTCAACGCTGGGATGCAGCTGTCAAAATGGGGCAGTAAGATATCTTACACGCATCAAGGCTGCATTTATTAGATCAGAAATGCAGTAAAACTTGTGAAATTTTATTACAATTAAAAATAACTGTTTTCTATTTTAATATATATTAAAATGTAATTTGTTCCTGTGATGCAAAGCTGAATTTCTGTTATGTTTTTAGCTGAATTTATGTTTTTTTAGAGTGTGTGTATATCTATATCTATATATATATATATAGAGATATAGATATAGATATATATATATATTGATGGTTCTTTTATCTGTGTTAGGGTCATGTATCCTTTATGCGCTATGTTAGTGTGGCCTGTGTGGTTGGAATCATCGCTGGATTCTGCATAGGGCCTGGTGAGGATCTCACTGAACATGAATTTATCTGTCATATTTATCATCATATTTTAGTCTTCATGTACATCTGACTCTTAAAAGTTGCCCTTTATATTTGTAATCTTCTAAATAGGTTATATTCATGGAATGACATTAGCAGAATTACTCATTCTAAAATGAAGCCAAGGTTTGCCGCCATAAAGCATTTTATTTGATAGACTAGTGCCACCTGCTGGTGAAAGAGTATTTGTTGTTTTGAAAAATGTGCAGTATATGCAACATTATGTATATGCTACCTAACTTATCACATAGCTGTGTTGCTTTTTTAAATTAATTAAAATATATTGTGTTAATGTGACTTTAATGCTGTTATATGTTTGCTCCTGCACAGCTGGTGTCCCGTTCCTCATGACAGGAGAGCTCTTTAAACAATCCCATCGACCTTCTGCCTACATTGTAGGAGGATTTGTCAACTGGATATCAAACTTCACTGTGGGATTTGTCTTTCCATTTCTTCAGGCAAGCCTGATTTGTCAATCCATGTTGATATTTTAAGTAAATATAAAGATAGTCATATATGAAATGTCTTTAAAAATTACAAGAACATAATTGTACAAAACAAAAATGACAGTATAAACATACAGATTTCTGTATGTTGTTTTAATAAAGTTGCATATATAAATAGAATATATATTGTTGACCTGTATGGTTGCTACACATAATACCCTATAAAAATCGTCATGTACTGTAGATATTATTAACATAAGTAAATATACACATTTTACTATGGGGATGTTATGCATGTTATAAACTTACATCTTCATCTATGACAATTATATATCGCCCTTTACGTAACAAAAATGTTAATATCACTCTTGATATAGGGCGATATATGTCATATGTTACATTGCTGTACATGTTTAATTGCAAATTATATTGTCAGCATACTAATTGCTCATTTTCAAGTTAAATTGGACTTTTAATCCCAGATTTTCATTGTATTTTCAGATGTCAGCTGGTGCATTCTGTTATCTGGTGTTCTGTGGTGTTTGTGTGGGGGTGGCAGCCTACGTTTTCTTCATCACCCCTGAAACAAAGAACAAAACCTTTGTGGAGATCAGTCAGATGTTCGCGTCAAGAAATGCTTGTGAAGTTGAAAACCAGCCGCTGGGAACCACTGACCAACTCAGGCTCAAAAATATGAATGGGTATGGTGCACTGGTGCCTGGAGATGTGGAAAAAACGGACAGGACAGAGAAATAGTGGTGAAGAAAGAAGGCAGTGTTGTTTGTATGCTGTGTTCTGGTGCTACAAAACACTTCTGTGTACTGCGAGAATGTGATGTTTTCATGAATTATCCTGTGTCATTAGATCACTTACCAAAGCACCATTAAAGTAGCCCATATGACAAGTACTATGGAGCTCTTTATGGTGCATTTGTTTGCAAGTCTTCTGAAGCCATACTATAGTTTAGTCCGTAATGAACAGACTAAAAATGGAGCTTATGCACTGGTTGGAAATCAACAACATCTCATGTTATTGCTTGACTAGTAACCAAACGTCAAATCTGCACATTAGATGCCATATTTAGAGAGTTTCAAAACTCTCCTGTTCATTTTAAGATGTAATTAATTGCATTCTTCTCAAGAAAGCTTGCAGCACATTGAAATTTGAACTGCTTCAACTTTGGTTTGTTCCTCATTCAAAGCTTTCGTATGCCTTCAGAAGACTAAAAATATAGAGCACAGGTCATATGGACTAGAGTACAGTTCAAAAATTTGGGGTTGGTAAAAAATTTTTATGTTTTCTGCTCACCAAGGTTGCATTTTTTGACCAAACATACAGTAAAATCATTAATAATGTTACATTTTCTTACAATTTGAAATAACTGTTTTCTATTTTAACATATTGTAAAATGTAATATATTCCCTGTATATAGCAGCCAGTCTTAAATGTTACATGATCCTTCAGAAATCATTCTAATGTGCTGATTTACTGCTCAAAAAACATTTATTATTACTATCATCAGTGGCGATTGATGATTATTTGATGAATAGAACAGCAAATAGAATAGAAAAGAACAGCAGTAATAGATTTTGAAATAGATTTTTTGTAACATAATAATTGTCTTTACTGTTACTTTTGATCAATTTAATGTGTCCTTGCTGAATAAAAACATTAAATTCTTTTAAAAAAAAAATAAAAATACTTGCTGACTCCAAATATTTGAACAGTGGTGTACGTTTGTAGTATAGAAAATATTTGTGATGATAAGTCTTTTTTTATCATAACCTCCGGTTGCATTACAGGTAAACTGTTCCTGTTCTGCAAATCACTTTAAATAAGAATGCATAGGCTAAATGACAAATAACCAAAGAATCAGGTAAGTAATTCTTATGTGGTTTGTACTCTAAGAAAAAGAGGATTTCTATTCCACCTACCTGTTTAAATCTGTCAGGTATAACATGGCTAAAAGTATTATTATTATTATTATTATTATTACCATCATCATCATTGTTGTTGTTGTTTATGAAGTAAACTGTCCATTCAGTAGTTTTATTTGCAGCCTTATGATAGCTATAATGTGGCCAAATCATCTTAATGGATTGTATTTTCCTTAAGTCATATTTTTTATACTGTCCTTTCCTTTATTCATGTAAGGGGGTATGTTCTTGGCTAAGTATTTTTTTCTTTTTTTTTTCTTTCAGAACATAAGGGCATTTTCCTTTACGGGGTACACATAATAATAGTCAATGAACTTTAAATGATTAAATATGTTAACAAAATAATTAAAACCAAACTGACAAAGCAAGTCAAATTTCTGAAAAGTAATGACTTGTAAATGTGAAATATGTTGTAAGCTATTGATCAACAACACAATTGTTGTTTGAACAAGATGTTTTTTTTTTCAAGTATTAATTCAACAACTGTTTGTCATGTCATGTGACTTACTTTATTGATATGTAGTATGTGTATTTGTAAAAGACCACAGTCTGACATGTGCAGGAAAAAAACAGCAGAGGGCACACCAGGACATAAATATGACCACAATTTTTTAAAAACATTTTCTGAATGATATATAGGACATGGGTCTTCAATGTGATTATCCCCACATGAAAGGCCCCCTTCCTAAAAAATAAAGGCAGCTGTCCTATATATTTTCATATATAAAGATGAATTTATACTGTTTGAGAAAAGGTGTCATGCTGTAAATACAGTACAACATGTCTGTAAAATTAAATAATTAGCTTTGTTTACATTTATTTTGGACTAAAGCCAAATGAAATAATATAAACAATATTATCTATAATATTCCACCCTAGGAAAAAAAAACTTGTAGAGCAATGTACCTTTGTAATATGAAGGAATTTTCTGCTTTTTCACTGGTATTAAGTTACACATGTTATTGTTAAGGAAATATCTGGGGGGTTTTTTTGTTTGTTTTGTTGTTGTTGTTTTTCTTCTGTATAGTGTAGATGTATAAACCTGAAGATAAACATTTTCAGTTTAATTCAAGTGTATTTGTATAGAGCTATTGACAGTTAATATTTTTTCTCCAAATTTTCCATGGACCCCTGAGAGCATAAGCTGTTTAAAAACCTTAACAGATTTTACATATCTTTTAAGGCAAATATATATATGTGTGTGTTACATCAATCTATCCGCCCTTCGGCCCTACTAAACGCACGTGCACACACACGAACACCATCTCCCCAAATCCCCCACCCATCCACTGTCAAGAGTACCAGCACATACCAGTCAGGTGCTTTCAACACTCGAAAAACTTTCCATGGAATTCCAGCTCTGTCTTATCTCTCCTGTATGGCACAGCATGTTTTTCATACCTGTCTAAGCTTCCTGTGACTCCAGACATTTCATCCACAGGAAACCCGGGACAGCCAAGTCTTATTTTTCATACAGTTAGGTATTTTTGCTTGGAAAAAAAAAATTATTACTGCACATAGAATGATGTGTTCTGTTATTTAAGGATTATGCTGATAAAGTCAAATGATTATTAGGAGTATTATTATCAGACAATGATTGATAGCCTATTATAATTAATAAAATTATATAAATTATATAAACATAAATGAATTATTATATACAGTATATATCACTTATAAATCTATACATTAGTAATAATTTAGAAGACTTCTTATCTAAAGAATCCTGTCTTTTCTCTCTACTGTCCTATCTATAAAAAATGCATAAAAGGCCCATAAAAATATCTAAAAAAAGAAGACTTCTTATCTAAACATGATTATCATTTATATATATATATATATATATATAAAATATTGAATAGATAATATGTGTATATATCATTGACTATATATATGCTTTTGACACGGTTAACCAGCCCAACTCAGTCCGAGCAGCTGAGTCCTTAGCCACCTTCAAGAATCGGCTAAAAACACATCTCTTCCATCTTTATTTGACCCAACTCTACCACTCTCTATTCTAATTATATTCTTTAAAAAAAAACTTGCCCCTTTTTAGACTTGCACTCTATTCTTTTACTAACTGCTTGTTTTCTTTAAAAAAAACTAGCTTCTCTAATCTTTTTGTTTTCTTTTTATTTATTATACAATTAACAAAAGCAAAAAAAGGCCTCTAACACTAGC